AGTGACACGAAAATGTAGTAATTACACCATAAATGCATATTATTAAAGTCTACTGTGTTTCACAGTCAACACATAAGACTTTTTGGCTAGGTTTAAAGGAAAAGAGCACTTTTAGATAAACAAGGCAGAAATAGATAGCACTTGTGGAGGTAGGAAAACAAAGTTCTGTATGAACTGCAGGATTGATTGTAATAAAGATTTCAATGCAAAAGGAAAGGCAGTAGAGCTGACTATTTCTGTCTTTGATTATAATGATCAATGATTATAATGTTGGAATAAATGTTGTGTTTGTGGAATACAGCCATGGATCAGTAGCGGACTCCTGTGTGAAAGCACAGTCCATGCTGCTTCCTCTCTCACAAGAGGGGAATTCCCCCCATTTTCTAAAATGAAATTCAGGCCCTAAAAATCCTGATTGGAGTATCACTATAGTTATAAATTATAAAAAGAAGGCTTTAAAAATATCGGTATCGGTATCGGCAGATACTTCTTTCTGTAATCGGCGATCGGTGATTGGCCTCAAAAATCCTGATCGGAGCACCCCTATTTAACACCTTTGTTTTTGTAGTGTTTCTGGCTTTAATGTTGCTAGATAATTATCTCTGAGTTTTCAGGGTTTTTTTGTGTAGTACTTATCTGTTTTGCTTTAAAATGATCATTTACATGTAAATACTTCAACCACCTGAGCATAAATAAGGGTTTTTACAGAAATTTTCTGTGCAAGTATCATTGAAGGACCATGCTTGATATGAAACATGACAAATATCATAGAAAATCAAGGTACAAGGTCACTTATTTGTCAAATTTCAAAAAGTACTAAAGGTGTGAAAATATTGTTTATATTAAATACATATTGTTATTTAGTTTAATTGGGATACATAAAATGCTAGACATGATATTAGCCTTAGCAGCACAAAGGTTCCTGTGGCACATGTATTTCCACTGCTGGATATTTGTTAGTACAGTAGACAAAATAAAAACTAGTGAGAGTGAGAAAATTATGTTTTAAAGGAGTTAAATTTCAAAAACTCCACAGGGCTAAAAGTGCCCGTAGTTGAAGAAACACTTGTACGGGTATTGAGTGCGAGAGTGAGACTGATACAATATCACACTGAAATGAACGTGTTCTTGGCAAACAGAAATGAAATGAAACTCTATTCTTATTGTTTTCTACTATGAAAGCCAAATAGCACTTTTTCTGTCTCTCTCACACTCTCTCTCTTTCTCTCAGTTTCAGTGTGAAACATTAGCATGACATTAAGTAACTGTAGGTGAGACAGTAATTCTACTAAAATAACATATTTGTGCAAAATAGTTATTTAAATAATAAACTAATGAAGTAAGAAAATTGTCAAGTAAGAGCAGCCGTAAAATAGCAAACATCTGTTGACTGTCAGGTGGTTTCTTTCTCTCTCTCTCTCTCTCTCTCTCTCTCTCTCTCTCTCTCTCTCTCTCTCTCTCTCTCTCACTTTCCGGTACATTCCTGGAATTCCTCCCAGCTAGGTTTGGATTTAGGCTTTGCAGTGTGTGTGTGTGTGTGTGCATAATCTGTCAGAATAATTGATTTAGTTTATTAACGGTCCTGAGAGAGGGAAAGTGTGCCATGTAATGAAGAATGAGAGCGTTTGTGTCTGGCATTAATGATATTTTCCTCATCTGTAGTATTTCATTAGTTATGCTAATTGAAAAGGAACTCATTTACTGGGATCCAGAATTGAAGTGTGTGTACGTGTGTATGTTAGTGTGAATATGAAAAAAGGTATATTACCTACTTTTTAAAAAAGCTTTTTCAAGTTGTAGACTCACTTGAAATTGAAATAGTTTTTGCAGAATGTCTGAATTCTAATGTGGCTGTCTACAACTGGTTTTCTGTTTACGAATGAAAACTTGGGTCTGTTTTATAAAGTGTGTTACATTTTTATTTATGTTATAAGCTATTATTGTTATACTTTTCCAGATCTTGTTCAGGGTTAATGTTTTTATTCACTGTTAGGTGAAGTTGTGCTGCTGTGTGGCAGATAGTATGACAATGTAATTTCTTTCAAAAATTTTTACTTGAAATGTATTGCGATTGACCATGTGACATTAAATCATACGGAAGGTGGGAAAGTATTTTGCATGACTCCCTCCAACAATAGTCCACAGTATGTCCACACAATGACTGTGTTCAGAGTTGTGATTTTAATACCAACTAGCCAGTTGGTTTCTGTACATTAAAGGGCAGTTCCATAGAAAACTCTAGGGCTGCACGATAAATCGCATGCAATATTTAACGCGCATCTTATCAGTAAAGCCGGTTCTGTAATCAGCGGTAAATCTCCATCACCTGCGGGCTTTCACATTGAGCAGCATTAACTACACAGAATTAAATATCGCATGCGATTTATCGTGCAGCCCTAGAAAACTCCCAGACGCTTTTCAGTTCAATCTCTTTGTTCAGTGTTGAGAGATAGATGCTCTCAAGTGCAAAGAGGCAGAGTGAAAGCATTAACGCTGACCCTGCAAAGAGAGAGGAAGTGCTCAGGGAAAAGACAAAGTGAAGAGATCAGATCCATTAATATAGGGCAGAAAATATTGTTTCTGAGTGTTCTATATACCATACCCTTTTCATATGATAAGGTGGAAAATAATTTTGTGTGATTTCATAATCAGGGCTGTCAGTTTAGTAATATAATAGGTTTAGTTCATTTACATTTTTCTACAATGCATTTACACTGCAATTAAATGAAATCAGCTCGTTTTGTAAGTGTTCTCCAACTGTCTGCTCTGGTTATGTGAGAAAGGCTTTTATTACCCCCCTTTATCATTGTGTGGAGAGTTTGTCTCCTCTAATGACACCTCCTGCCATCCCATCCCCATCCTCCTAATTATCCTCTATTTTACTTAACAGCTGGAGAAAGAGGAGGGTGGCTGTAGAGACGGGGGTCGGTCCGAGATCTGAGGATAATCATTGTTTTAATTGCTTGCGTTGCATGTAAAGACCTTTTTAAAAAAACTCATTTAGAAAACAACTCAATTAGCATATTCAGATGCGAATCAAAGCGAGCGGCTTGTATACAGCTGGTGTTGGGAGTCGTGCATCAGACTGTTTTGAAAAACTGATTAAGTCAATTAAAGTTGATTTTATTCCAGTAATGTTGCCAATTATAGTGTTTATATATATTTTTTTCCAGACTGTTAGGTCCATTCTCACAGCAGGGCTGAGACCTTTAGATGGGCTACTTCTAGTTCAGTTTATGTGACCTATTTTTATTTCATATGTATATAGCTATATCTGTTAATAATAAATATCATAGTTTATAGTTAATAATTTATTGTAATATATAAATAATATAATATTTAAATTAGTAATAGGTTATTAGTTAATAATTCTTATAATAGTTTGTAATTAACATATTAATATGTAATATATTAGTAATAATATAACATTATAATATAAGTAATTTAATAATTACATATAATATCCTTTATTGATCTAATAAAATAGTTAATAATTAATTGACAGTATAATATGTAAATAATAAAATATTATTATTATTATTATTATTATTATGAATACTACCACTACTACTACTAAGAATAATAATTTTATTTAGTATTTTTTAGAAACAGCTGAGTAGTGCCTGACCATTTAAAATTGACTCAAATGTTCTGCATTAGGCCTGGGCGATAAAACGGTATCGATATTTATCGACGGTACACCTTCTTCAATATCGATAGAAAAAATGTTCGATATAGCGCACGATATAGTCACGTGCTATGAGTGACGCAGACAGCACACACAAACACGAACACATGCTGAATTGAGTGCTGTGCCTGCCTGTGATGAAGAGATTGTGAATACATTTTTTTTTATATTAGTCGAATTTGAAATAAACATTTGCATTTGAATGCAAAAATAGTACAATCAAATGTTAGGTGTGCCTCAGGGAGCATCATCAGTGGAGCACGAGATGCGGTGATGATAATGTAAGTGACGTTCTTGCATTTTAATGTTTTATTAGTCTAGCCCACGAGACGTGCAGTTGCTGCGTTATTCATTCAAAATAATAGAGTTAATTTAGACGTAATGCACGTTTTCTTATAGACAGTTATTTCCTTCCGTTGACAATTTAATGCGCTGCATTATTTTGCTCATTGCACCCTCCTGTGGCCTCAGGAGACAAGACAAAAGTTTCCTTAAGAAATTAGATATTTGTTTAATTTTCATTTTGTGTTTGACTGTTAAAACAAAAAATATTTGTTGTTTGTCTCAATAAATTGGGTTAATTTAAAAATACAGTGGTTAAATTAAAAAAAAAAAAAATTCTATTGCTCTTTGTTTTAAAAAAAAGGTTATAATACATGTCAATAATTATCGATACCGAACGATATGAAACATTTATCGTTGATACATTTTTTAGCTATATCGCCCAGCCCTATTCTGAATGGTTGGAAAAGCATTGTTATGTGGTTGCAAAGGTTTCTGGCTGGTTTCTAGGGCATTGCTAGGTGGTCGCTAGGGTGTTTTGGGTGGTTGCTTACTGGCTTAATTTAAAAGAGCCCTCATCCAAGTCTCTGATATTTTGGTCCATAGATATCCCTCAGGCCCCTCCATTAATGCAATTCAATGGGAGTTCAATAACTAACATAAACATATAATAATGAGGTGCACCATATATGGTCACATCCTCAAGATGGGCTAATTTGTGCATTGTTTATGGCCATTAGCTGCCTAGCCGTGGCCTAGATTTCCCAGGCAGACTCTTTCTGTGCTGTGGCTCTGAAAGGCCCCTTCATATGATATCTTAAATTACTCTTTAATGGCTGTAATGAGAAGAAATATGATCTAGTCTATTCACTCCGGTCTCATCTCATGACGTAAAGCGATGCAGGTGCTGTGGTGTGTAATCAGAAAATTCAAAAGATCAGCATTTATTTAAAGGGGTCATATGATGCGATTTCAAGTTTTCCTTTCTCTTTGGAGTGTTACGAGCTCTTGGTGCATAAAGAAGAGCTGTAAAGTTGCAAAGACTAAAGTCTCAAATCCAATATTCTTTATAAAAGTTAAGAGTCAGCCACACCTACCTAAAACGGCTTGTT